TCTAGGCGGGTCATGTTTGGACGAGTTATTAATATACAACTAGGTACAACTAAATACAACTGAAGGTAACAAGAGAACTAAAGAGACTAGAATTGACAATGATGACTAAAGACAACTAATAAACTAACGATATTACAAATAATTAACAACAGTTACGACGAGAGACTACAGATACACTACAGTGACACTACAGACACTACAGTGTCTACGCGCCTATAATTACTTACAAAATTACCATCAAACAACTCTCAACTTGCATTAAGTTTATTGCCGTCGAAACAAGTTAAAAATTTAGCAGTTCATTTCTTTTGAGAGGGATACAAGAGAAGATACTCCGACGGTACTATTGAAAAAATACATAGGTAATCTACTCACAAGAGGTTCATTCAGAACGGTACTTAGATTTAATTGTTGAACAATTGCATTTTATGAGGCAACAAACTTAATCGGTGAGACAATGAGAACAGGCAGCAGAAAACGAAACAAACTCAGAAAAAAAGGAAACCAAGACACCGAGAAGTGAAAGGTGAGCATAGTCCTGAGAAATGTCTATTGCTTTTCGTCGAGGTTCACACAACCAAGAGAGAGAGACTTGTACTTTCAACTGCATGATTTGTCATGCGACACTTCTCCTGAGAATCTGTACGCACGTTTTAAAAAGGTTCTTGGCACTAAGGACTTTCCGACTCGGCCAGCGCGAGAGATATCGCTCGATAGACTGCCGATCTGACGAAGAAATCAATAAAATCACGATAGAAGAAGAGATAGCGCATATAGCTGAAGTATTGCAGTCACCTCGTATGATCGCCAAAAACCTGCTTTGTTTCATTGTCAGTTCTTTGATTTACAGGACTTCTGATATCCTTACAACAAGCAAAGATGGGTACATGATAAACAGCGGTCGTTACGCGGGGATGAAAAAGACCGTTCTAGAATAAACTCTTCTCACTCCACAGTTTTTGCACATACTCCTGGTAACGTGTCATTCGGTACCCAGGGCTACGAGACTAAAAGAAACGAAGGGGTCTGGGCACAAAAGGAGAACCTCGCTGGATAAGGGTAACGCAGGCTCTAGAAAGATCATTTGCGCGCATGAACAACCACTTCCCATTGTTTCCAGACTCTCGTTCTCCCCGTCCAACTGGATTGCGACAGTTGCCACACCAAAGAAAACTTGTTATTCATTGTTTTCTTTCAATAAAAACGAGTTAGCACTGTCTGTCTGATGTTTGGCCGCCTTGTCAAATTCAATGTTTTTGAATTGTTTGTTCTCTTTTCCACTTTTTCGTAAAAAGTCTGTGGATTTCTCAAGTTTAGCTTCTGAAGGGTCAGAGGGTCTGGGTACGACATAAACTATTAGCGTATGTTTACTAAAAAGAATGTGGGTGCTTATCTTTAAGGAGAGCTTGCTAGCGGAAGGTTTATTTTAGGTGCAGAGTAAGTAGCTCTCTCTGTCTGGAGCGCAATTTTAGCTAATTATTTTCTATTGACTCCTTTCCCTGTAATATCCTTTAGCTGAAAGACATCTACAAAGAATCACTTTCGTTTGTTTGCTATATCGAAAGACGACGTAAATTTTCTACCGGAAAAATATTTCAAACCACAACTGAAAAAGGAAAAACACAAATGGCATGACATGACACACAAACCGCACGCTTCTGGCCTCACAAATTAAAAAAACAAATGGCGGTAGTTTATTTTTGTTCTTGGGTGAGGCTTTATACCGTGGGTAGGGAGGAGTTTATAGCATCCTTTTTAAAAAACAAAACGTGTTAATTAATTCGTTAACGAGATATTTTGGGGGGCGAATGACAAGAAAAACCTTGTTGAAAAAGCAAACAGAGCACAGCTGCATTCAGCCGTTTATTTGATAGCTGTGCGCTTTTATCTTCATAATCAAAGAAGACAAACCAAAGTTTTCATATGATTACATTCGGCTCCTTTGGTTGAAAAAGAAAATGACTTGTGGTACGCAATGATTAACATAATATTTTCCCTAAAAATTGGTTTAAATTCCCTCAAGCTTACCCAGAAGCTTGAAAAAGGAGTTTTAGTAATTCAAATATTTGTGGCTTTTTAAAAACATTGGAATACCTAGATGATGAAGTATAATATTTCATTCTAAAATGTGTTTTAACTTTTAACGGATGTCTTGTATACGATGTTTGCTGTCACATCGACTTAATGCCAATTAAAATTGGTTGGTAGGCCATTTTCAATTTTACAACAACTAACAAATTAAGTCTGAAGAGTAAACTCTCAAAATACCCACGGATACAAAGTTATGGTCCTTACACGAGAGGAAACTGCAGCCATTCCAACCTTAATTGATTCAAGGAAATTTTTAATTGAACCGAAAAAAGGAATTATGGCCCACGTACACAGCGATTTAGCGCCAAACTGTCTTAAAAGCACTATCAAGCGCTACACTGATCCATATTCATATAATAAAATAAGCGCTACTATTCAGCCGAACTGATCTTGAACACGTTTTTGAACACGAGGAGACCTAGCCTATGGAAATGACAAAGTTGATACGATCTGTTTACAGATTCACCAAACGATAGTCTGTCGGTAAAGTTACTAGTAAAAGCTTTTAAATGACAGTTTTTTGACACCACACAGAAAAAGGAATTCTTCATTACTTTTTGAGAGAACGTATGTGTTAAAACGGTCAGTAATGATTATGCTTTCATGTAGTGATGGTCACGAAATCGGCTTTTAGAGTACGTGCTGTTCAGACGATTTGTTTAAAACGTTTAAAATGAAAAATTGGAAATGCCCCAGGGGGGATTACATGGAACATGTTTTAAGCCTTGAAGATTGTATCCGGAGTAAAACCTGCTTTGAAGAAAGGCTTATCACGACCAAAATCTGAGTCACTTGCGAAAACTCGCTTATAACTGAAGCTGGATGTCTTTATAACATTTTGTTATATTCACTCACTAAACGCACAGCCCTCCGAATACAAAGGCAACAACACATTTGACGCAGTCTTCAGAGACCTCTCGCGACTAGCATAACGTTTAATCGCTACAATAGTCGATGATAAAAGTTGCGACGACATGTTTGAGATGGAAGGTAAAGATGATTGCGCGGCGGTGCCAGCGCCCACAACTCTGTCTCTCTTCACCGCCGCAGTGTCCGGTTTAGTAGCGCTTGTGACTGTTCCTTGTAACATCTTGGTGTGTCTCGTCATTCTAAGAAGCCCGCCCAGATTAAAAAACCTCCGCACGCCTTTCACCTACTTCATACTGAACCTCGCTCTGACAGATCTTCTCGTCGGAGCAGCCACGGAGCCGATTTCAGTGGTGTATCACCTCATGGAAGCGAGGTCTGTTTCTTCGCCAAGTTTAGTCAGGCTTTTACAAGTGCTATACTTTCTCACATGCACGGTTTCCGTGTTAAGCATTTTGGCATTAACCCTAGAGCGATTCTATGCCATTTCTAAACCCTTCAAGTACAGGCAGAGTGTGACAAACTCTAGAGTATTTCTGGCGTCGGGTATGATATGGATTTTGTCGCCCGGGTTTATAACGCCGTACTTCGTGATGGGCTATCGTGTTTTTTCGTTGGTGTTCGCCAATGTCGTGATCTTAATTACATTGTGTACTGTGATTTACGCTTATTTCAAGATTATCAAGACGATTCAACGCAGGAAAAACATTCGCCAGGACAGCTTACAGGGGCTGTTTATTGCCAACCGACAAGTGACGCTGTACGAAGAAAAACTGACCCGAACGTTTACTTCGATTCTGATTCTGTTTGCAATTTGCTACGTGACGCCATGCCTCTTAATTTATACAATGAATTTATGCACCAAGTGCTCTTGTGATACTATCCATTGGTTGCGGGACTCGACGTTTTTAGCGGTGACTTGCAATTCTGCCATCAACCCATTCCTATACGCTTGGCGCCTTCCCAGCTTTCGCCACGCGCTGAGGATTATGATGCCCGGATGCACGTGTCACATGACACTGGATAGAGACACCACACAAGGAGTTGTTTACTCACTCAAGAAACCTTCCAACTGCACTATCGTCTTCGAGATTGCAGAAATAGAGAAAAGAAACTTGCGCGCTCCAAAACCGAGGCTTTCTACTTCTCCCCTGTAAAGTCTTTCCATTTCATATGGAATCCAACACTGATATTAAACTCTCAGTACATTGTCATAAAACTCTTATGGAAAATGCATCCATCGTTTAGCACAATGTTAACAGTGCGGTTGGAACTAAAACCGTCGAAAATATGCGACCCGGATGCGCAGCAAAGTCGGGATTCGTGCGATCTTGACACAAGAGCCCAACTGTCAAGAGCAACACTGTTGCTTTCTTATCTTACGCTGTGAAAGCATCAAATTTAGCATGAGAGATTAACCGTTTTAAGGCAAAGGCCTGTTTGAAAAGCGAAATTACTGTCGTTTCGTTTCTTCTGGAACACTCATGATACAGTTCATAATTTATTGTAACATTTCTTTTTCCACAGATTGAGACACTTAGCTCGCGCAACTATAACTGGTCATTCACGAGTTGCAAGTTTTTTTCCCATTACAATACGTCCGACATTATCAGGAAGCGATTTTTTTTTTCAACACAACATCCTTAACATGGAAATTACAGGAGGGAATGACTACAATACTTTACAAAATCAGCAAGGTCTTTGATACGCTTTGTTAGTAACTGACCACAAGTGCTTGTATTTACAATAAAAAAAAATATTTGAAAAACTGACAGTCGCGTAGTACAGGATCAATTTGATTCCAAAACGTCGCCTGTAATAACAAAAAGTAAAAATAAATAAATGAAAATTATGGCGCTTTTCGAAAAATTAAGTCTAATTTTATTTTATGTTTATTTCTGCGTAATCCTCCATTCTCACAACCATCCGTGTTTCTCTCTGAATTACTGGTTTCTTGTTGACGTATTGGGATTAATATAAAACAGACTAAGACGACTTGAATAATAACGGGTGGGAGAACCAGGACATAACATTGACAAGGGTGATCTTTGAAAATTTTGAAAGAGCCACGCGAGGCACCAAAATAGCGTCTTTATGGACACAGCATTAGCTCATTTTCACCCCCTTAGAAGAACCACTTCTTACCAACAACTTGTTTCTGTCGTACATGTATATGTAAACACTATTATGTGGGAATCTCGCCTTCCCCAATCGTCTTTCCCTCCAGGGTTGCTCACTAGCACAGCTGTACAAGCCAGCGATTGTACTGCTACCACTGTAAACACTTCTACACACCTCACTTTCGGTACCACATCCTGATGGGCTTACTACGGCGAATCTTCTTCTGCAGCTGCAGGACTCCATACAGCAGTGCCTCGGCTGTAGGAGGGCAGCCTGGGACATAGATATCTACTGGAACAATCCTGTCACAGCCGCGGACTACTGCGTAGGAGTAGTGATAATAGCCTCCGCCATTAGCGCAACTGTCGAGACCAAAATAGGAGCATGAAATATGTCAGTAATAAATATATGTACAATCAACTCTCTTAAGCAGACACCATTGAAAAGTGGACAGTTGTTTCTCTATACAGTTACTAAATATTTAAGGGGGAAGCCTCTCTGAATTGGACAGCTTGAGCCACACGGCCTACTCTTAGAGAAAGTTGACGGTTGGCCTGTCTCATTGAAATTTTTCAATTGGTCCACAAAGCAACGTATTGAAGATGGGGACACGAAAATTTGCCCCTATTTTTTATGCATTCTGCTATCAAGGAAACTCACGGTGTCTCAAAATGAACTGGGCAATATGCTGCATACTGATACAATTTTATATTGCCATGATAGTATGGAAACTTTCAGGGACCTGTTTTTGAAAGGTTATTCNGATGACTAAAGACAACTAATAAACTAACGATATTACAAATAATTAACAACAGTTACGACGAGAGACTACAGATACACTACAGTGACACTACAGACACTACAGTGTCTACGCGCCTATAATTACTTACAAAATTACCATCAAACAACTCTCAACTTGCATTAAGTTTATTGCCGTCGAAACAAGTTAAAAATTTAGCAGTTCATTTCTTTTGAGAGGGATACAAGAGAAGATACTCCGACGGTACTATTGAAAAAATACATAGGTAATCTACTCACAAGAGGTTCATTCAGAACGGTACTTAGATTTAATTGTTGAACAATTGCATTTTATGAGGCAACAAACTTAATCGGTGAGACAATGAGAACAGGCAGCAGAAAACGAAACAAACTCAGAAAAAAAGGAAACCAAGACACCGAGAAGTGAAAGGTGAGCATAGTCCTGAGAAATGTCTATTGCTTTTCGTCGAGGTTCACACAACCAAGAGAGAGAGACTTGTACTTTCAACTGCATGATTTGTCATGCGACACTTCTCCTGAGAATCTGTACGCACGTTTTAAAAAGGTTCTTGGCACTAAGGACTTTCCGACTCGGCCAGCGCGAGAGATATCGCTCGATAGACTGCCGATCTGACGAAGAAATCAATAAAATCACGATAGAAGAAGAGATAGCGCATATAGCTGAAGTATTGCAGTCACCTCGTATGATCGCCAAAAACCTGCTTTGTTTCATTGTCAGTTCTTTGATTTACAGGACTTCTGATATCCTTACAACAAGCAAAGATGGGTACATGATAAACAGCGGTCGTTACGCGGGGATGAAAAAGACCGTTCTAGAATAAACTCTTCTCACTCCACAGTTTTTGCACATACTCCTGGTAACGTGTCATTCGGTACCCAGGGCTACGAGACTAAAAGAAACGAAGGGGTCTGGGCACAAAAGGAGAACCTCGCTGGATAAGGGTAACGCAGGCTCTAGAAAGATCATTTGCGCGCATGAACAACCACTTCCCATTGTTTCCAGACTCTCGTTCTCCCCGTCCAACTGGATTGCGACAGTTGCCACACCAAAGAAAACTTGTTATTCATTGTTTTCTTTCAATAAAAACGAGTTAGCACTGTCTGTCTGATGTTTGGCCGCCTTGTCAAATTCAATGTTTTTGAATTGTTTGTTCTCTTTTCCACTTTTTCGTAAAAAGTCTGTGGATTTCTCAAGTTTAGCTTCTGAAGGGTCAGAGGGTCTGGGTACGACATAAACTATTAGCGTATGTTTACTAAAAAGAATGTGGGTGCTTATCTTTAAGGAGAGCTTGCTAGCGGAAGGTTTATTTTAGGTGCAGAGTAAGTAGCTCTCTCTGTCTGGAGCGCAATTTTAGCTAATTATTTTCTATTGACTCCTTTCCCTGTAATATCCTTTAGCTGAAAGACATCTACAAAGAATCACTTTCGTTTGTTTGCTATATCGAAAGACGACGTAAATTTTCTACCGGAAAAATATTTCAAACCACAACTGAAAAAGGAAAAACACAAATGGCATGACATGACACACAAACCGCACGCTTCTGGCCTCACAAATTAAAAAAACAAATGGCGGTAGTTTATTTTTGTTCTTGGGTGAGGCTTTATACCGTGGGTAGGGAGGAGTTTATAGCATCCTTTTTAAAAAACAAAACGTGTTAATTAATTCGTTAACGAGATATTTTGGGGGGCGAATGACAAGAAAAACCTTGTTGAAAAAGCAAACAGAGCACAGCTGCATTCAGCCGTTTATTTGATAGCTGTGCGCTTTTATCTTCATAATCAAAGAAGACAAACCAAAGTTTTCATATGATTACATTCGGCTCCTTTGGTTGAAAAAGAAAATGACTTGTGGTACGCAATGATTAACATAATATTTTCCCTAAAAATTGGTTTAAATTCCCTCAAGCTTACCCAGAAGCTTGAAAAAGGAGTTTTAGTAATTCAAATATTTGTGGCTTTTTAAAAACATTGGAATACCTAGATGATGAAGTATAATATTTCATTCTAAAATGTGTTTTAACTTTTAACGGATGTCTTGTATACGATGTTTGCTGTCACATCGACTTAATGCCAATTAAAATTGGTTGGTAGGCCATTTTCAATTTTACAACAACTAACAAATTAAGTCTGAAGAGTAAACTCTCAAAATACCCACGGATACAAAGTTATGGTCCTTACACGAGAGGAAACTGCAGCCATTCCAACCTTAATTGATTCAAGGAAATTTTTAATTGAACCGAAAAAAGGAATTATGGCCCACGTACACAGCGATTTAGCGCCAAACTGTCTTAAAAGCACTATCAAGCGCTACACTGATCCATATTCATATAATAAAATAAGCGCTACTATTCAGCCGAACTGATCTTGAACACGTTTTTGAACACGAGGAGACCTAGCCTATGGAAATGACAAAGTTGATACGATCTGTTTACAGATTCACCAAACGATAGTCTGTCGGTAAAGTTACTAGTAAAAGCTTTTAAATGACAGTTTTTTGACACCACACAGAAAAAGGAATTCTTCATTACTTTTTGAGAGAACGTATGTGTTAAAACGGTCAGTAATGATTATGCTTTCATGTAGTGATGGTCACGAAATCGGCTTTTAGAGTACGTGCTGTTCAGACGATTTGTTTAAAACGTTTAAAATGAAAAATTGGAAATGCCCCAGGGGGGATTACATGGAACATGTTTTAAGCCTTGAAGATTGTATCCGGAGTAAAACCTGCTTTGAAGAAAGGCTTATCACGACCAAAATCTGAGTCACTTGCGAAAACTCGCTTATAACAGTTTATAACAGTTTGTTATATTCACTCACTAAACGCACAGCCCTCCGAATACAAAGGCAACAACACATTTGACGCAGTCTTCAGAGACCTCTCGCGACTAGCATAACGTTTAATCGCTACAATAGTCGATGATAAAAGTTGCGACGACATGTTTGAGATGGAAGGTAAAGATGATTGCGCGGCGGTGCCAGCGCCCACAACTCTGTCTCTCTTCACCGCCGCAGTGTCCGGTTTAGTAGCGCTTGTGACTGTTCCTTGTAACATCTTGGTGTGTCTCGTCATTCTAAGAAGCCCGCCCAGATTAAAAAACCTCCGCACGCCTTTCACCTACTTCATACTGAACCTCGCTCTGACAGATCTTCTCGTCGGAGCAGCCACGGAGCCGATTTCAGTGGTGTATCACCTCATGGAAGCGAGGTCTGTTTCTTCGCCAAGTTTAGTCAGGCTTTTACAAGTGCTATACTTTCTCACATGCACGGTTTCCGTGTTAAGCATTTTGGCATTAACCCTAGAGCGATTCTATGCCATTTCTAAACCCTTCAAGTACAGGCAGAGTGTGACAAACTCTAGAGTATTTCTGGCGTCGGGTATGATATGGATTTTGTCGCCCGGGTTTATAACGCCGTACTTCGTGATGGGCTATCGTGTTTTTTCGTTGGTGTTCGCCAATGTCGTGATCTTAATTACATTGTGTACTGTGATTTACGCTTATTTCAAGATTATCAAGACGATTCAACGCAGGAAAAACATTCGCCAGGACAGCTTACAGGGGCTGTTTATTGCCAACCGACAAGTGACGCTGTACGAAGAAAAACTGACCCGAACGTTTACTTCGATTCTGATTCTGTTTGCAATTTGCTACGTGACGCCATGCCTCTTAATTTATACAATGAATTTATGCACCAAGTGCTCTTGTGATACTATCCATTGGTTGCGGGACTCGACGTTTTTAGCGGTGACTTGCAATTCTGCCATCAACCCATTCCTATACGCTTGGCGCCTTCCCAGCTTTCGCCACGCGCTGAGGATTATGATGCCCGGATGCACGTGTCACATGACACTGGATAGAGACACCACACAAGGAGTTGTTTACTCACTCAAGAAACCTTCCAACTGCACTATCGTCTTCGAGATTGCAGAAATAGAGAAAAGAAACTTGCGCGCTCCAAAACCGAGGCTTTCTACTTCTCCCCTGTAAAGTCTTTCCATTTCATATGGAATCCAACACTGATATTAAACTCTCAGTACATTGTCATAAAACTCTTATGGAAAATGCATCCATCGTTTAGCACAATGTTAACAGTGCGGTTGGAACTAAAACCGTCGAAAATATGCGACCCGGATGCGCAGCAAAGTCGGGATTCGTGCGATCTTGACACAAGAGCCCAACTGTCAAGAGCAACACTGTTGCTTTCTTATCTTACGCTGTGAAAGCATCAAATTTAGCATGAGAGATTAACCGTTTTAAGGCAAAGGCCTGTTTGAAAAGCGAAATTACTGTCGTTTCGTTTCTTCTGGAACACTCATGATACAGTTCATAATTTATTGTAACATTTCTTTTTCCACAGATTGAGACACTTAGCTCGCGCAACTATAACTGGTCATTCACGAGTTGCAAGTTTTTTTCCCATTACAATACGTCCGACATTATCAGGAAGCGATTTTTTTTTTCAACACAACATCCTTAACATGGAAATTACAGGAGGGAATGACTACAATACTTTACAAAATCAGCAAGGTCTTTGATACGCTTTGTTAGTAACTGACCACAAGTGCTTGTATTTACAATAAAAAAAAATATTTGAAAAACTGACAGTCGCGTAGTACAGGATCAATTTGATTCCAAAACGTCGCCTGTAATAACAAAAAGTAAAAATAAATAAATGAAAATTATGGCGCTTTTCGAAAAATTAAGTCTAATTTTATTTTATGTTTATTTCTGCGTAATCCTCCATTCTCACAACCATCCGTGTTTCTCTCTGAATTACTGGTTTCTTGTTGACGTATTGGGATTAATATAAAACAGACTAAGACGACTTGAATAATAACGGGTGGGAGAACCAGGACATAACATTGACAAGGGTGATCTTTGAAAATTTTGAAAGAGCCACGCGAGGCACCAAAATAGCGTCTTTATGGACACAGCATTAGCTCATTTTCACCCCCTTAGAAGAACCACTTCTTACCAACAACTTGTTTCTGTCGTACATGTATATGTAAACACTATTATGTGGGAATCTCGCCTTCCCCAATCGTCTTTCCCTCCAGGGTTGCTCACTAGCACAGCTGTACAAGCCAGCGATTGTACTGCTACCACTGTAAACACTTCTACACACCTCACTTTCGGTACCACATCCTGATGGGCTTACTACGGCGAATCTTCTTCTGCAGCTGCAGGACTCCATACAGCAGTGCCTCGGCTGTAGGAGGGCAGCCTGGGACATAGATATCTACTGGAACAATCCTGTCACAGCCGCGGACTACTGCGTAGGAGTAGTGATAATAGCCTCCGCCATTAGCGCAACTGTCGAGACCAAAATAGGAGCATGAAATATGTCAGTAATAAATATATGTACAATCAACTCTCTTAAGCAGACACCATTGAAAAGTGGACAGTTGTTTCTCTATACAGTTACTAAATATTTAAGGGGGAAGCCTCTCTGAATTGGACAGCTTGAGCCACACGGCCTACTCTTAGAGAAAGTTGACGGTTGGCCTGTCTCATTGAAATTTTTCAATTGGTCCACAAAGCAACGTATTGAAGATGGGGACACGAAAATTTGCCCCTATTTTTTATGCATTCTGCTATCAAGGAAACTCACGGTGTCTCAAAATGAACTGGGCAATATGCTGCATACTGATACAATTTTATATTGCCATGATAGTATGGAAACTTTCAGGGACCTGTTTTTGAAAGGTTATTCTTCCTGGAAAATTTACATGTAAATCAACGATTACTTGTTTACATTTTACATTTACAATTTGCAGCCAGTTTAAGTCACCGAATACAGTATGTACACTGTACGACGAAACAAATCAAAGTAAATGATAGTTAGTGTAAAAACAGGTGAAAACACAGAGACCATACAGCTGCAGAGGTTTAGCTTACATGTAGTAGGAAAACTTTATCCAGTAAAACACAAAATGTACATGAAAACTATATACCTTCCCATAGAGATAACCCAGCGTGGTTCAGGCATCTGGTCATATACCTAAATGTACAAAATTTGGGTTAAATGCTGCTCGCAGAGTTTCTTGTATGACAAAAGGGCGTTAAAGTCACACTTGGGAGAAACAAGCACACACTGCTGAAGCTTATCATGCTTTCTGTACCATGAGCTAAAAGTACTGTCATTAGTCCTGAATGGGAAACTGGTTTTATATTAAGATCGGATACAAGCACTGTGAGAGTGTCTTGTACAAGAACTTGGTCAGCTAGCCCTTGAAGTTTTTAATCCAGAGTCCAACACACCACCTCTCTCTACAGTAAGTCTCAAATCAACAAGAGTCTTGGGGATATCAGCAAACTGAGAATTTTGGAATGCAATATGAGAATAATAATATTATTATCTTGCCAGAAACTGATCAATCTCGATAAAAAGTCTTTGCAAAGTTGCCTTTGTGGCTTTTCTTTTTCATTTAGTACAAGGAAGGTTGAGGGTGAGAATGACAAAAATGGAGACCTGTACTTTTTCTTCAGTCCAGGGGAACTAAAATTACACTCACAAGAAGGCAAACCCTTGATAGCACTTGTACAAGAGAGGAAGCATTGTTCTGCAAAGTCACATGCAAATAAACTGCATTTACATTATAAGCATACCACCTTCCATTGATACAATGAGTTACCACATTACTCCCTTACCTTTCTCAAAGCTGGGGCCATTTTGTTAGTCAGAGTTCCAGCAACAATCATCACATCAGCTTGGCGCTAAAAAAACAAAAGTTTGAAATAAATATATGTGTAAGTACCAAGCATCCACAAAGAGATTGAATTTTTACAGTAATAATTACTGTAAAAAATTACATGTGAATGTGGATGCCTGGTACAGTACAACCATAAAATATTGTTTATGGTTGTTTTGATTAAATCCGATATAGAAAACCATTTTCAAAGAAACATGAACGCTAGTACATGATGTTTCGGTGTCATCTTGTCGCCATTGTCAAATGCAGATTTTAAGTTGCATGGTTTGGATATACATACATGAATATTATTTAGGACTCTTTCACACCTAAACTAATATATATCCAAACTGGGCTACTTAAAAATCTGCATTTGATGATGGTGACAAGATGATGCCCAAACATTTTGTACTAGCGTTTATATATATTATGAACAGGATGCACACAACGTATGATAACTTATGTATTCTTACATGTACATGTCAAATACAATGTACTTACAGGGCTTGCTCTAAACACAACACCAAACCTGTCCATGTCATATCTATGAAAAAAGAAAAAGAAAAAAGTTACACACATATATACAAAAACTGTTTGCGTAAACTTGGTTATTGTACTTTTCAACTTATGCTTTGTGAACTAAGAATAACAAATGTTACCAAAACTACAGCACAAGGGCCTTGGTCAGGGCTCTAGCACAAACAGCACTAAGGTTGGAGGAACAAGAATCAGATGATGGTAAATTCTGGTGTCCAAGAATGGATTTAACATGCAGTTTTTCATCTCTAAGCTATACAGAAATGGATTGTATCACGATGACATGACAACTGTCTAAGTACTTTCAGGGTGGAGGTTGCTAATCTTTGACTGGATAGAAATAACTGGTTCAACATTATCAATATTTGTCAAACCCAGCATTTATTTTCCTGACTTTTCCAGTACAGGTTTGTGAACATACAAATATTTACATGTAGTTTCTGTGCTGGCTGTTCATCTTTCCTTTAGCGGCTTGTTGATGAGTTCCAATAGCACTTATCAAATAAAAGTTGAAGTTATTAAGGCTGTACCTTGGTGCAGCAAAGTGCATCATTTCAACTGCACAACAGGCAAGACCAAATGTCATCGGCCACAAAGAGCCCTTAAAAAAAAAAAACAGAAAGTAACTTTTAAATACTGTCTTATTCATGACCTTCACAATGTACATGTTAGTGTAATGACTAGATACATTTACATAAAGCTGCGTCAAAAATATTGAATGAAAACCTTTTCAAATNATGAATATTATTTAGGACTCTTTCACACCTAAACTAATATATATCCAAACTGGGCTACTTAAAAATCTGCATAATTTTTGATAATGGTGACAAGATGATGCCCAAACATTTTGTACTAGCATTTATAGATATTATGAACAGGATGCACACAACATATGATAACTTATGTATTCTTACGTGTACATGTCAAATACAATGTACTTACAGGGCTTGCTCTAAACACAACACCAAACCTGTCCATGTCATATCTATGAAAAAAGAGAAAGAAAAAAGTTACACATATATATGCAAAAACTGTTTGCGTAAACTTGGTTATTGTACTTTTCAACTTATGGTTTGTGAACTAAGAGTAAAAATCTTTACCAAAACTAGAACACAAGGGCCTCGGTCAGGGCTCTAACACTAGCACAAACAGCACTAAGGTTGGAGGAACAAGAATCAGATGATGGTAAATTCTAGGGTCCAAGAATGGATTTAACATGCAGTTTTTCATCTTTAAGCTATACAGAAATGGATTGTATCATGATGACGTGACAACTTTCTAAGTATTCTCAGGGTGGAGGTTGCTAATCTTTGACTGGATAGGAATAATTGATTCAACATGATTATCAATATTTGTCAAACCCAGCATTTATTTTCCTGACTTCTCCAGTACAGGTTTGTGAACATACAAATATTTAGTTTCTGTGCTGGCTGTTCATCTTTCCTTTAG